CCTCCCTCCCTCCCTCCCTCCTTTCTCTTGTCAAGAACTCACCACCAAGGCTTGGAGCTCCACGGCACTAGGAAACTCACAGCGTCCCCCAAACTTGAAAGTCTTCACCAAATTCTGCTCGCAGGCCTTGGCGATGCCTGATGGAGGTTAAGGAAGAGAAGCAGAGAAGAGGTGGAACGTTCTCAATCACCCACAGAGAAGTCCCACTCGTGAGATTCACTCTTCTCACGCCAACCTAGATGGACCTGCCTGTCCACATGTGCTGCCCTCTGCGGAACTTAAGATTGGAGTGGGCCACTGAAAAGCGAGACCAGGTGGGTGGCCGTTCTCCTGCTTGATTCACTCCCTAGCTTTCCATGGTTGAGAACCTTCCAAGCTCCAGATTTTCTCCAATGGCAGCAACGTTCCTCTCCGGCCGAAGAGAGGTGCTGATGGGCTGGATTCCCGGCCCAGCTGGAAGCCAAGCGAGGGGTCATCCGTCTTTGCCAATCCCCTCTGTCCCACCGGGGAGAGTTTAATGAGAAAATAACCCTGGGCTGCCATGTGACCCAGCAGGCTTTCTTCCAGCCGTAGGCAGAGCAGATGGATTCATTTCCACGTTTTAGCGATTGGAGAGCAAGTACGTTTGATTGATGAATCTTGGCTTAAGCCCTGTCAGTTGTCTTCCTCTAACAGCTAGATTTTAACACCTGCCTTGTCCTAGGAATCGAAGCATTTAATTCACTTTACTTCCCCCCAGGGAGGCAGTGTTTTACGTGGACGAGAGGAGGAGAGATTTCCACAATTGTCAACGCAAACATGTTTGATTCTTACTTTTAATAACTCCATTATTACAAATGATAAAACCCAAACCCCTAAAAGACTCCAGTTTGATCCTTTGAAATGGGAGATGAGAGCTTTGACTGTGCAGAGGGCCAGGGGAGAAACCCCCAGCATTTCCTCAACACTTTCCCTATCGTCCCTTGTAGCTGTTTTTCAATTTTTTAAAAAAGTTAAAAGGTAAGCCTATGCGTAAATTAGTGGGTAAGGGTCTCCAGTCCTCTAATCGTCCCTCTTGCTCTTCTCTGCACACTTTCCAGAGACCTTTTTTACACCGTGGCGACCAAAACTGGATGCCGTATTCCAAGGGTGGCCTTACCAAGGTATTATAAAGCGGCATTATTCATGCAGTTGTGTTTCTACTGTTAATGCAGCCTAGGACGGGCCCGAGTGGAAATAATCTTGGGCCACCTTGGGAGCCTTTTCGTGGAAAATTCCAGCAGCTCACCTTGAAAATGCAAACCAGGGTGGGCAGAGACCTCCTGGAGGAACTGTAGAAGGTAGGGCTTGAAGACTTCGGAGCATCTATAGTAGCCACTCAGGATGTACAGAAGCCTCCATCCTTTTGGGCAGCTGTCCCTAGGTCAAAGGAGACAGGGATGTGAAAGTCCAGCTGGATCTTGGGGAAGCTCTACCCATAACCAGAGGTAGGAGCAGGACTGACTCAGGCAGTGGTTCTCCCCAGAGCTAATCCAAGGGCTCCCTTTCATCCGCCTTCAGCTGCTGGCTTGGAATATTAGGGCTCTATGTATCTGCCTTCCCCCAGAGAGAGAAGAAGGGTGTCAGGCNTCCTGTCTTTTCTCAACATTGGCTTCATGGGCGAACAGCGGAAACTTCACAGAGTCTCCTCCTAGCATGGCGTCCTTTTTCCTCTACCTGTCCTAACTGAAAGGCCTATCATCGTGGAGCCGACCGGTGACAGGGAGCCACAGCAGAGGGATGAAAGAACCACATGCGGCTCCAGAGCCACAGATGCTGATCCCTGGCCTAAGGAAAACTTGCAAGTAATTATGAGATGCTGGGTAGCTTTGTAGCACGGATGCAGCTGGACATCTGAAGGTCCACAGAAAGGAAGGTGATTTATTTCTCGATGCCTGGATAAGAGAAATCACCTCCCTTCTAACCTCATCAACTCACTTTTACTAGAAACAGCAAAAAGGATGTATTCCCTGAAGGCTTCAGGCTGGTGTAGACCCATTTCGAAGCAAATCTCTTCTATGACATCCTGGGCCACCTAGAAACACGAATGGACAGGAAGTTGCACCAAGGAGAATTGTGAATGCCTAGCAACAGGTCAAAATGCCGAAGATGCAACTTTCGGAACTGCGCAGAATTTTTCTGACAGACGAATGTTCGGTCTATGTGTTTGTGGAGGACGGCGTAAGAAGAAATGTCGGAGAAAGAGAGAGAACAAATGTTGTTAGCCTGACTTTGTGGGGAAAGTTGCCATAGGATCTGTCTTTGGGAAAACTAACAGAGTGGACTTGGCCCATTTTGGCTGAAAGTGCATTTTGAGCATAAAAATTTTAAGTGGAACTTTTAAGTTTGTTTCCTGAAAAGATAGGTATGGTTTTCTGGAGTAAGCTCTGGAAACAAACTCCTACAGAGGAGAGATATTATATTCTGCAAGATTTCATGGGAGGAGAATGCTGGGCTGGCTGGTGCATTGTTGACACTTGAAACATGTTTGTACACTAAGTGTGAGTTTTGTGTTCAAACACTCCCTCTCTATTTGCTGGCTGCATCAGATCAGGAGAAGGAGGCTGTTTTTCGGCACTCACTGAGCAAGTCTTGATTTTGAGGTGCCTTTCGATCCCTCCTGGAAGGAGGAAGAGTTGGCGCTTGGAGCTTCTTCCAGCCTGAGGAGGAGTGGGAGAAGGAGGAGGAAGAATAGAATGGCAAAAAGCACAATTATTAGGGACGGGAAAGTGGGTGCTATGGAGGCACCTTGCTTGCCCATCTCTTTCAGCCCATAGCCAAGCTATCATCCCTGTCTAGGTGACTCCTTCCCAGCTGATCCCTTCCTTCCTTCCTTCCTTCCTTCCTTCCTTCCTTCCTTCCTTCCTTCCTTCCTTCCTTCCTTCCT